ACCATTAAGCTGCATTTCTAGCATTGCAGAGGAATTGACTGGCATCTGCTGATAGAGCAGTTTGATTTTCTCGATGTTCAATGAGAGGCCAAGCTTTTCGTATGCTTCTGCAAAGGTGTTCAGAATGGCTTGTAGGTCTTCTTCTGAATAACCCAATATTGTAATATTAACAGCTGTTAATCTCTCACCTGATTTGCTATGTGAACATGACTGTAAATATAACCAAACAAACCCCAACTGCTAGGTCTGGCAATGGCCTTCACTAAGCAAAAACAGGACACTGCAGGTGCAATAATAAGACATGAATCCTTAGGCTGCCAGGTAATTAGGAAATGTCAGAAGCTCACAGAAAACTGGTTTTTGTGCACAAATAATTGTACCTGAAACTGCATCCAAAAATTGCCTACATTTTGGCAGACGGGATGTTCTCAAGGTTAATGATGCATACTAAAATATTTTCATTGCAATAATTTCCAGGAATTTTACATACCTCATACAGTTTGAAAGAATAAATGCACTTTTCATGTTTGTCAACCTTCCCCCTAACCTGTTTTTTTAATGCCCGTATTACAGCAGCAGTAAAACAGCAAACAGCTCAAATGAATGCTGGAGAGAGCCCTAGTGTCTGAGAAAAGACAAGGAGCTACAGCCAGGTGAGCCTAAACACCACCAGAGTATACAGCAAAGTCACGGTGGGATTTTTTAAATTTTCCCCATACACTTTTAAGCCTTGCTTGCTTGAATGCAGAATTTGTGAATACAAAGAGAGACTTCATTACCCCCAGATCTTCTGCTCTATGCCAATACTTTTTTTTTTGGGGGGGGGGTTACCAGGGCAAGGTCACATTCAACCACAAATCATTGTAGCTCCTCGTGAGTGAACTGAATATGGTCCCCATGGCTCTGAGTGTTGTCGAGCAATTTAGAGTGGCTATGGATAGAGAGATCCAAGCCATTGTGGGTTGCCTAGTGAGAAAAGAAGCCAGTATTCCAGAATAAATCTCACCAAGTTGAAGAGAAAGCCACCAAGGTTTTTATTTCATTCCAGCTGGAAAGGATGATGATTGCAGTAACCTGCCAAAAATCTACATGTCCATTGGACAGAGAGATACAATATTTATAGCCTTATGATTCAAAAGTTCCTATGCCCTCCCCCCAAAGCCGGCTTTGTTATGATTGGCTGTGACGTCAGCAAGCCAGCAGAAGAGCCAATGGCGGCCTGAGCCCTGCTTTGGCCACTCACCCAATGAGGTAGAAGGGAGGCGGGCAACAGGGAAACAACGAAGAAAATGTCTAGTCGTCAAGATTAAGGCGAACAATGTTTGTCCAATGACCCAATGATAGCTTAAGCCCTCAAGTCGGATCTTGGTTATTGTGTTAGTCCTTTGAATCATCATTTTTCATCTAGCCCCAAAGGGCCAGATCCTTTGTTCTATCATCCTGGGATATGAAGTTCATTGATGAAGCTTGAGGTTGGTTTCGGCTGGTTAGGACTTACACAATGGAGAGGCTGTAGCGAAGTTCTTGGTTCCTCACAGACAGGAAAATGCCCTTTGTGCTGAGTGATTTGAAATGTCCATAGGTTCTATCATCCCAGATGGCCTGGCTTTGCCCTCCAAGGTCTGGTCTGATAAGAGCCATTTACTTATTGTCCATGCAAATGGGCTTGGTGAGGTCCTTTTGTTAGGGGATTATCAACTCAGGAAGCGTGGGGGCTTCCAGAGTCAAGAGTTGCTGGTTTATGAGAAAAAAAGGTTGCTTTCCTTCACATTTTCATACAAACATACATACACATAGGGGATGGGGAATGGGGCAAGGGAACATACAAGGAATTCGTAGGAAGAGAGAGGAAATCGTGCAGGGTCTAAGGGAAAGTCACGTCAGCCCCCCCAAATCCATAAAAGTTCATAAAGTTTGGAAAGAGTTTATAAAAGTTCCTATAAAGTTCATGAAAGTTCACTGAAAGTCCATAAGAGTTCATGGGGGTGTATAGAAGGCCCTAGGAGCACTGAGGAGCCAGAGTCCATTCATAAAACAGGAGTTTCATTCAAAAAAAGGAATCCAATTAATAAATAATAGCCAAATTGGTCAGATGCTAGTTTGGGTTACAGGGGCGTTGCCATGTGGGGCCATGGAAAAAGCCTTAGGTTCCCACATGGGGGAGAGAGGGGATTATGGGATCATTCCAGCCTGGTGTCCCTGGCAAAACTATGAATTCCCTGATTTTGACCTATCTTTTACAGAGTCCTGGGGGGGGGGTCACCTCTGATCACATGAGTGCATTTGTTGCTAATGTAGGTTTTAAAAACCCCTCTAAATTATATATATATATATATATATATATATATATAGAGAGAGAGAGAGAGAGAGAGAGAGAGAGAGAGAGAATCCTAGAATAGAGTTGGAAGAGACCTCATGGGCCATCTAGTCCAACCCCCTGCCATTCAGGAAAAACACAATCAAAGTATCCCAGACAGATGGCCATCCAGCCTCTGTTTAAAAGTTTCCAAGGAAGGAACTTCCACCACACCCCCAGACAGAAAGTTCCACTGTTAACAGTTCTTACAGTCAGGAATCATTCCTTATGTTCAGGTGGAATCTACTTTCCTGTAATTTGAACCCAAGGGCAGCAGAAAATAAGCTCCCTCTTCCTTACGGCATCCTTTCACACATTTATACATGGCTATCCTCTCCTCGCAACCTTTTCTTCTACAGGCTAAACATTATACAGTTCTTTACGATACTCCTCATAGGGATTCATGGTCTCCAGGCCTTTGATCATTTTATTCCCCTCTTCTGAATACCTTTCAGTTTATCTCTTTTGAACTATGATGCCCAGAATTGGATGCAGTATGTATTCTTTTTAAGTTTTGGCTTTTAAGTCTCTTCTGTTGTGTTTTCCAGTGTTTTTATGAGTGATGGTCACTCATTGGTCTGATATATATATTGTGTCCAAATTTGGAGTCATTTCGTCCAGTGGTTTTTGAGTTATGTTAATCCCACAAACGAACATTACCATTTTATTTATATAGACTAGCCGTCCCCTGCCACGCGTTGCTGTGGCCCACTCTGGTGGCCATGGGGGTTCTGTGTGGGAGGTTTGGCCCAATTCCATCGTGGGTGGGGTTCAGAATGCTCTGTGATTGTAGGTGAACTACAAATCCCAGCAACTACAACTCCCAAATGTCAAGATTCTATTTTCCCCAAACTCCATCAGTGTTCGCATTTGGGCATATTGAGTATTCGTGTAGAGCAGTGGTTCTCAAACTTCCTAATGCTGTGACCCCTTAGTACAGTTCTTCATGTTGTGGTGACCCCCAACTGTAACATTATTTTCGTTGCTACTTCATAACTGTCATTTTGCTCCCATCATGAATCGTCATGTAAATACCTGATATGTAGGATGTATTTTCATTCATTGGACCAGATTTGACACAAATACCCAACATGCCCAAATTTGAATACTGGTGGGATCGGGGAAGGGGGAGTCATTTTGTCATTTGGGAGTTGTAGTTCACCTACATCCAGAGAGCACTGTGGACTCTAACAATGAGAGATCTGGACCAACTTGGCATGAATACTCAATATGCCCAAATCTGAATATCGCTTGGGAAAAACAGACCTTGACATTTGGGAGTTGTGGTTACTGGGATTTATAGTTCATCTACAATCAAAGGGCAATCTGAACTCCACTAACAATGGAATTTATCCAAACTTGGTACACAGAACTCCCATGGCCAACAGAAAATACTGAAAGGGTGTGGTGGGCATTGACCTTGAGTTTGGGAGTTGTAGTTCACCTACCTCCAGAGAGCACTGTGGACTCAAGCAATGATGGCTCTGGACCAAACTTGACATGAATACTCAATATGCCCAAATGTAAACACTGGTAGAGCTTGGGGAAAATATACCTTGACATTTGGGAGTTGTGGTTGCTGTAATTTATAGTTCACCTACGATCAAAGAGCCTTCTGAACCCCACCAATGATAGAATTATGCCAAACTTCCCACACAGAACTCCCATAACCAATGGAAAATACTGGAGGGATTTGGGATGAATTGACAGTGATTTAGGAATCCGGAGAGCACTGTGAACCCAAACAATTATGCCAAAGGGCTTTCAAAGACCATCAGAAATATGTGTTTTCTGATGGTCTTCAGTGACCCCTCTGAAACCCCCTCGCGACCCCCCCAAGGGGTCCCGACCCCCAGGCTGAGAAACACTGGTGTAGAGTTTGGTCCAGATCCATCACTGTTTGAGTCCACAGTGATCTCTGGATGTAGGTGAACTACAACTCCAAAACCAAAGGACACTGCACACCAAACTCTTCCAGTATTTTCTGTTGGTGATGGGAGAACTGTGTGCCAAGTTTGGTTCAATTCCATCGTTGGTGGGGTTCAGAATGCTCTTTGATTGTAGGTGAACTATAAATCCCAGCAACTATGACTCCCAATGACAAAATCAATTTTGTCCAATGACAAAATCAATTTTTTGAGTGAAGGACATACATTGGGTTGTTAGGTGTCTTGTGTCCAAATTTGGTGTCAATTTGTCCAGTGGTTTTTGAGTTCTGTTAATCCCACAAACGAACATTACATTTTTATTTATATAGATTTCTTATTATTATAACGTTTTTATGACACAGGAGGCAAATTCTTTTGACCCACCTGCGTATAAACGTTTCTGCTGGGTAGAGTCAACACAGCAACCTAAAAGGGGGCGGACTCACTGGCTGTGTGTACCATAGATAGAAGAACCCACCCAGCCCTTCGGGATTTCAGGAAGCGAAGTCAACTGTGGAACCCGTCAGCGCCTGGGCGCAGGCCTAGGCCCAGCGGCACCGCGTGCTTGTAAATTCCCCCTCCTTCAGTTACCGCGTGATTTTGGAACCGGAGAGCGACCTGGGGCACGCGCCGCCGGCGGTCCTGCTTCTGCTGGCGCTGATAGGACGCGGCACGTGGGGTGGGCGGGGCCCTGCCAGGAGGTGGCGCATGCGCGCGCCTTGGGGCCGAGGAGGGGGGCGTGGCATGCTTTGCTGCGCGGACGAGGCTGGTGCACGACGGGAAGAGCGCAGGACTTAGTCCTCCCAAGTGAGACTCAAAGCGGCGCGCGACTCCATCCCTTCAGGCCTGGCGCGAGGCCTCGGCCTGCATTCCTTTCAGGGGCCTGGGTTGACTCGGCTGAGGGAAGCTCCTCAGGCCGCGCAGAGCCCTCAGCGGCCGGCCTCTGGCCCTCCCGTGCCAGGCGCAGGCCTCGTTCGCCGCCAGGCACTGCCCTGAGAAGCTCCCCGGTCTCCTGCTGCCCAAGGCGCCCTCCCGGTTGGGGCCCCTCCTCCCCGCAGCCTTCCCTTGCCTCTGGCCCTTAGCCTCTCCCGTAGCCAAGCAGCACACCTTCCAAGGTACACTTAAGAGCTCTTCCAGGTGGGCCTACTGTGACTGACTGTATCACCGTCTTGGGAAGGGGTCCACAAACTTTAAACAGAGGCCCAGGTGACAGATTCCTCAAACCTTTGGGAAGGCCAGATTATAATTTGAAAAAAAAACCATGAATGAATTCCTATGCACACTGCACAGATCTTATTTGTAGTGTAAAAAACACTAAAACAGGGGTCCTCAAACTTTAAACAGAGGGTCAAGTCACAGTCCCTCAAACTTTTGGGAGGGCCCAGTTATAATTTGAAAAAAATAATGAATGAATGCCTATGCACACTGCACAGATCTTATTTGTAGTGCAAAAAACACTTTAAAACAGGGGTCCTCAAACTTTTTAAATAGAGGGCCAAGGCACAGTCCCGCAAACTGTTGGAGAGCCGGATTATAATTTGAAAAAAATAATGAATGAATTCCTGTGCACACTGCACAGATCTAATTTGTAGTGCAAAAAACACTACAACAGGGGTCCTCAAACTTTTTAAATAGAGGGCCAGGTCACAGTCCCTCATACTTTTGGGAGGGCCCGATTATAATTTGAAAAAAACATGAATGAATTCCTACGCACACTGCACAGATCTTATTTGTAGTGCAAAAAACACTAAAACAGGGGTCCTCAAACTTTTTAAATAGAGAGCCAAGTCACAGTCCCTCAAACTGTTGGACAGCCGGATTATAATTTGAAAAAAATATGAATGAATTCCTATACACCAGTGAAGGGCAACCTTTTGAGCTTGGTGTGTCAAAATTCCCCCAAAACCTGAGCATAACTCGGGTGGGATTCCACTTCAAGAAAAAGACCATAATGATGGTCAATTAGAAATCCACAACACCTCAGAATGGTAGATTGTTAAAACCTGTGCGCCAGCTGCGCCCGTACTTTGGGAAGTCTGACTTGGCCACGCGTGGTCCACGCTCTGGTTACATCCCAAATAGACTACTGCAATGCACTCTGTGTGAGGTTGCCTGTGAAGACTGTCCGGAAGCTCCAATTAGTCCAATGCTCGGCAGCCAGGTTGCTCACGGGAGTGGGGTACAGGGAGAGCACAACCCCCCTATTACACCAGCTCCACTGGCTGCCAATTAGCTTCTGAGCACAATTCAAAGTGCTGGTTTTAACCTACAAAACCCTATACAGCTCTGGCCCGGTTTATCTTCCCCATCAAGGACTTGAAGATCTTCTGGAGAAGCCCTGCTCAGTCCCACCACCTTCGCAGGTGCATTTGGTGGGGAGAGACAGGGCCTTCTCTGTGGTGGCCCCCCGTCTATGGAACGCTCTCCTTGGCAAGATTAGGTCTGCCCCCTCTCCTTTAGGAAGCAGCTAAAATCCTGGCTTTGGAGTCAGGCATTTGCAGATTGATGGTGACCTGTTATAGACTAAGAGTTATTTGACCACTATGTTCTGGACTGAGTTGGATGCTGTTTTTAACGTGATGAATTGTTTTATATGTATTTTAGAACTTATTTATTGTATGTTGTTTTATTATGGTATTTATTGTATTGCACTGAATTTTGCTGTTAGCCATTCTGAGTCCCTCCACAGAGGTAGAGAAGAACGTAATATAAAAGTTGGATTGGATGATGGTTGCTGTGGTTATGTGGTTGCTGGTAATGGCGCTCACAGGGCCCCCAGAGATGTGTCCCCTGCAGCATACCGCTGCTCCCTGCTCCGCCAGCCGGAAGTGAGGTCAAAGATTCTCTTTTGGCCTAACCGGAACTGTGCCCGAGTTCTGTTGTTTTGGCCTACAGACCTCCAGCACAGAGTGTCTACACTACAGTAAATGTTTAATCCTTGGCTACTGCACCTGGCCGTGCAGGAGCCGAGGATGAAACGTCCTTCTCGGCATGCAGCCCATATTTCTCTCTATGCAGCCATGTGTCATCGAAAATGGCTATGGGTGTCAGTGCTGACACACATGTCATAGGTTCGCCAGCACGGCTATACATACTGCACATACCTTATTTGTAGTGCAAAAACACTTTACAACAATACAGCAATTAAAATGAAGAACAATTTTAACAAATTTAGACAGATTAGTATTTCATTTGGAAGTGTGGGTCTGCTTTTGGCTGATGAGATAGGATTGTTGTGTGCTTTCAAGTTATTTCAAACTTAGGTTGACCCTGAGTGAGGGCCAGGTAAATGACCTTGGAGGGCCGTATCCAGCCCCCAGGCCTTAGTTTGAGGACCTCTGCTTTAAAACAATACAATAATTAAAATGAAGAACAATTTTAACAAATTTAAACAGATTAGTATTTTATTTGGAAGTGTGGGCTTGCTTTTGGCTGATGAGATAGGATTGTTGTTGTGTGCTTTCAAGTTGTTTCAAACTTAGGTTGACCCAGAGCGAGGGCCGGGCAAATGACCTTGGAAGGCCGTATCTGGCCCCCGGGCCTTAGTTTGAGGACCCCTGCTCTTGAGAAACTGTCCTTACTGTTTCTGAGTAGCTGTACATCAGGCATGGGCAAACTTTGGCCCTCCGAGTCCAGGTGTTTTGGACTTTGACTTCCAGAATTTCTATTTCCAGCTGTTAGGATTTTTGGGAATTAATAATTATTTATTTGACCAGTTGTATGACCATTTCAAAATACACACGAATAAAAGACAAAGCAAGAAGGAGAACAGCTGCTGGCCTATTTACAGTCAGAATCTTATTTTCCTGGTTCTTCTTTCAGGAAATGTGCTTTTTTCTTGATAGCTTTCAGAATAAAAAGGCTTACTCTGATTATGGTGGATCTTTCCTGTCCTCGCAAGAGGAATGTCAGAATATCATTTCTATTGGGGGACCTGCAGTTAGATAATACTGGATGTAAATATCTGTATCGCAGTTCAGTATATGCTGGACAGTCAACTGAGAAATGTTCGATATCTTCCACTGTTTGTTCTCCCCAAAAGCAGAGTCTCTCACTTCTTGGGATGTTACAGTAACGCTTGGTTTGCATCATAATACTGAGTTGTTCAAACCTAGCCCTAATATATATTCTTCTTAAGAATTGTAGGAGTTGAAGTCCAAAACACCCGGACAGCTGAAGTTTGGCCATGACTGATGCACATGCTTTTGGGTACAATGCTCTGAAATTAGTAACTATTGTCTCTTCCTCATTTAGTGTTGATTTGGAGTATTCTCCCTTTCCTTTTCCCTCCAGAATGTAGAGCAGGAGGTGCCAAACCCATTTTCATTGAGGGCGCCATCAGCCTTATGGTTGCCTTCTAAGGACTGTTGAATTAGTGGATGGAAAATCCATGGATACAGAAAGCCAACTATATATTGTTTTACATGGTGGTCATTATTATGTTTATTTATATCACACTTATTAATTATTAATTTCATGCATTTCTACCTCGCCCTTCTCCCCCCGAAGGGGACTCACACAAGCATCATATGATGCTATCAACATGTAAACAATCAAAAATTACATTTAAAACAGTAAAAATCATTAAAAACATTATACAAATTCTTTAAACAAATTAAACATGCCAATTAAAACCCAAGTCCAAGTCAGGGTAAATTCAATGTCACAGAGATCCAAATCAGGGTAAATTCAATATCGCAGTTATCCAAATCATGGTAAATTCAATGTCGCAGATATCCACAGAAAGCTAACTATATATTTTTTACATAGTGATCGTTATTCTTATTATTTTTATTTATATTCCACTTTTTCTCTCCATACTGAGACTCAAAGCCACTCACAACTAAAAACATTGCAACATTACAAAATATACAACATACAAGTATTGAAACAATGTTAATCATCACTAAAATCATATGAAATTGCAGCTCCTGGCAATCTTAAACACATTCTTCTTTAAAAGCCTGCCTGAATAAAAAGGTTTTAACCTGCTGCTGAAGGATAGCAGGGAGGGGGGCTATTTTGGCTTCTCTGGGAAGAAGGGAGTTCCAGAGTAGAGGGGCAGCCACTGAGAAGGCCCTCTCTCTCGTTCCCATCAATTGAGCTTGAGTTGGAGGTGGGACCGAGAGAAGGGCCTCTCCTGAAGATCTCAGGGCCCTGGCATGTTTGTACAAGGGGACAAGGTTAGCCAAGTAGCCCAGACCTGAACCATCTAGGGCTTTAAAGGTTATAACCAGCATTTTGAATTGTGCCCGGAAACAGACTGGCAGCCAGTGGAGCTGCTGCAACAGGGGGGTTATCCACACCCTGTGAGTAACCTGGCTGCAGCTCTTTGGACCTACTGAAGTTTCTGAGCACTCTTGAGAGGCAGCCCCTTGTAGAGCATGGTAAAGTAATCCAGTAATAGTTACTCTTTTGTTTTTACCCCCTTTGGGTCCCCAAATGTTATTGAATGACAATGCCCATCACTTTTGATGATCTTCCATGCAACCAGGGGAGAATGGGAATTGCAACCCAACAACACTTGTGGTTCTGAGGTTGGTGAAAGGATAATGGACATTTTGAAATCGAACATCATATCCATAAGCCTTTGTATTTTAATTCAAACCCTCCTTCTGTAACTAAACAGAACAAACTGCAGCCTTTCAGGTGTTACTGTATCACAGCCCTCATCAGCTCTAGTCATGATGTCTACAGATGTTGTGGGGTCATATAAAAAGATGTTGCAGGCCTTGAGTTTGACACATGTGATGTAGAGGATTCCTGCATACAATCAGATTGTTGTTAAAAGAACAACATGCTCAGGAGCAAGCTGTAGAATAGAATTCCATATCTGATAATATTTAATATGTAGTTTGTGTGTTGGACTTGGACTGTTTCTTGGGTATTTGGGTGTGTTCATAGAATAGAGTTGGAAGAGACCACATGGGCCATCTAGTCCAACCCCCTGCCATGCAGGAAAAGCACAATCTAAGTGCCTCAGACAGATGGCCATCCAGTCTCTGTTACTGTCTCTCTGACCTAGCCCCTCAAAGGTTGTATGAGATTAAAAGAGGCCATGCCACATTCTACAATGATACAATAGACATGCCAAGGAACAAAATCTCTATATGCA